CCATCCATCCATCCGTCCGTCCATCCGTCCATCAGTCCATCTATCCCTCCATGCATGCATTCATCCATCCACTCACCCATGCATCTGTCATTCACATTTTTTCCATACTTTTTTGATTCAGTATCAGATTGTTTATTAACTTTTACTGGTTAATGATTTTCTATATTGTGTTAATATAACTGATTATAATTTACAATATGACAATAGGCTCTAAAGATCATGACATATGTATCAGCCAATGGCCAATCAGAATTCAGAAGTGCATTAAGACACAAAAACCAGCACATCCGTGATGCTGCAAGTGAGTATACAGTCCTTTGACTAAACGTTGCTGTTTGATCGGTTTCATCCCTACGCACCTAGACCGAAAAGGATCATGGGGATAATTAATTCACAGTTACTAGCTGCCGCATATGTTATCTAACACGTCTTGAGCAAGTCATACTGGACTGGAAAACTAAATTTTTGGCTCTTATCCCCAAAGAAACCTATTTTGGAGCCACTATCTGTAGCCAGCGATAACTCGTTTGAACAGCGCTCAAGCAGATAATCTTTTAGCGCCTGCGCGTTGTCGATATTTGGGACATCCTTGATGGAATATGATATAAAACGGCTCTTGTTTTCCTTGCGTAAAACGCGAAGACAAATGTGCATTTTGCTCTCCATTGTGCGATTGTCACCGACTGATAGAGAACAATTAATTATTCGTGTAAATTTACCCATTATCCTTTTCGGTCTAGGGCGTGTAAGGATGATCCGATCAACGACAACGTTTAGTCAAAGGACTGTATATATACATTAATATACATTATGCATTAGAAAGTATCTATAAATTCTGAGATGTTAAAGCTAAATTAATTGTTCAGCTTGGAGACATATATAGCTACCATAACCAAAGGAACTTCAGTCAAAACTATGAATAGACCTCAGACTTCAAGTTTCATACCACTTTTTCTCCTGAGAATATTATTATTTGTTTGAGTTGTTTTTATATTCATTTGTCTTCTCATGCATGACCATGAAACAAAGAAATGATACTCTAGGGAATGACATGTGGTCTGAAATGGGAAAATATTATGCCCAGCATTTCGCCAGTCACCTATGGGGTTGTGATACCCCCTCCAGCCTAATCAATTCAATATACATGTATCATGGAAACACTTTGATTGCCGTTCACCAAAACTCTATTTTGCCTTATGACAACAATTAATGCTAAGATTCTGCAAATTAAAGACAAAAAGCACTGTGATAATTATGGTTTCTAAACCCATTGTAAATTTTTGATTTCATTCATGCAGATTTTTCTGGCCCAATGGATGCACTCCACGGTGACTCACTCAACCTAAAAGTACGAAAAGCAGCAACTGAACTCATTGAACTCTTATTCAACATTGAGAACCCCGAATCTTCCCAGCAGTCCTTTATAATGTCTGGACCATCAGGGCAGAAGATGGAAGGCTTTGGAAACACACCAACAATTCCTGCATCAAAAAGTGTTGGCTTTATCAATAAAGTTAAAGAACTAAGCAGCCATATTCCATCTATTGGGGGCTATTTGAAGACGGGAACCAGCGAAGACTTTATTACCAATGAAGTGGATGTTGGCGAAGGGCAGTTTGTTAGTTTTGGTGAGATGCCATCCACCAACAGGTCTTTAGGCCAACCTTCGAGGGTTGAATTTGTCAATTATAATAGTGAAAATAAATGGAGCCCACAGAAAGGTATTAAAAACGCTTTTTTGAACACTTTTCACTTTTCATCTGGTATGATGTGTCAGTGAACTGAAACCTTGCAGGGGGAAACAATGATTGCTAAATTAATTGTTTAATTTTAAAATTAATGTGGAAGAAACAGTGCAATGAATCATAGATAAGACTCACGCAATGAAATCCTCAAAACGAATGAAATAACATCTGGGCTGATCTAAGCTAGCTAGCTATTATTCAAAAATAAAAACTCTGATTAACGACCTGTGAAATGATCTAAGTCAGAGCGAAGCTAACTCACAGATAGAACCCTGAAACAACCTCTTGGCTGATCTAAGTCAGGGGCATGGCTAACTCACAGATAGAACCCTGAAACAACCTCTGCGCTGATCTAAGTCAGGGGCATGGCTAACTCACAGATAGAACCCTGAAACAACCTCTGTGCTGATCTAAGTCAGAGCAAGGCTAACTCACAGATCAAACCCTGGAACAACCTCTTGGCTGATCTAAGTCAG